TTTTTGTTTGCATACTCTGGATCAGGTGATGAAAACAACCATGGCCACCTTTCCTGTATAAACATGAACACATTCACCCTTTCCAGAGTTGTGGAATGAATGAAGTTCATGAACTGAGATATGTATACACACATGTAAATATCATGTTTTACATTGTGAGTAGATAATAATATGTCCATTATATCTTAATGAGGTTAGAATTTATTCTTTGTAATGAATGAAATAAAGTAAATGCAGCCATGCATGGTAGCGCACGCCTGTAATCCCAGCACTGGGGAGGCTGAGGTAGGAGGATCACTGCAAGTTCGAGGCCAGCCTGGGCTACAAAGTGAGTTCAAGGCCAGCCTGAACTGCATAGTGAGACCCTGTCTCAAAAAGACAAAAAGTATAAATAAAGTAAATGCATCAAGAGATGTTTGAAACTTAAAACAAATGAGCTTGGTAGCAGGTTGGGAATTTGGGGAGGAATAAGAGAAATAGGATAGCTCCTGAGTCCCAGGAAGTGGATAGTGTGTTAGGTTAGGTGTCATCCGTTTAGTGAGATATGGAACAATGAAGGGTCAGTCGAGGTTGCAGTACACAATTCAAAGGCTGAATTTTCAATTTGTTGAAGGTGTTGAACCCTGTGTCATTTGAATGTTGTATGTTAGAAACGAGAGAAGACCTAGTTTTAGATAACTGCTTAAAAATCACTTTCGAATTCTGTGTTGTTTGTAAACTGTAAAACTTTTGAAAATTAATAGGCTAAAATATACCTGTAGTGGATGCTGTTTGCTGCTGGGATCTTTGTGTCCCTGTCCCAAACGGTAAGCATTTCTTCACTCTATTTTTCATGTTCACAGTTCTCCAGGTAACTGGCAGGCGCCATTATGGGAGATGCATAAAAAAGCCCGGCTTTCCTACCTCACCTCTAAGACTCTCCACAGAGCCCCTTAAGGGTCAGACTGAGGTGAGATCTCTGGGTCACAAAGCAAAGGATTTATTTGTTTGCATTTTTGCCCTTCCTCTCCTACTTTCCTCACAGCACTTACATAAGGACACTTATTGCTTGGAATCCAACCTAAGATACTTTCAAGCATCTTTTTTGACTCAAGGGATTTAAGTCCCTTTTTCATTAAAACAAACAAACAGGGGCTGGGAATTTAGCTCAGAGGCACAACGCGGCCTGGCAAGCGCAAGGTCGTGCTTTTGATTCCGGGTACCGGAAAAAAAAACAACCAACCAAACAAACAAAAATAAAACAGACAAACAAAAACAAACATCCCAAAAGAAACTTGGTTTAATACTGGAGGGGAAAAGAAAAACCCTAAAACCCCCGCCAAAACAAAAACTAATCTTCCATTTTAGTTCAAATTTCACTCTCTAAGTTCCTATCAACTGTTCATGCTCTGTCTCACTGATGTGTTACACAACACATTTTTCAAGTTTTTTTTTTTTTTTAATCAGTACATGTCTGCAGTAGGTTACATTCATCCTGGGGAGGTGGTACATGGATGTAACAGATCTTAATTCTTCCTACTTCCCCTTCCCCTCTTCTCTTGGGCCCCTTCTCATTTACAAAACATCTATCTCCCTGTTTCCTATATCTACCTTTTGTTTTCTCTTTTATGTTTATGCTTCAGATTTCCCATATAAGAGAACCCATATGATATTTAATCTTGTGCCTCTGATTTATCTTACTGAACATTAATGTCTCATGTACATTCATTTCCTTATAAATGACTCAAATTTATCATCTTTATAGCACAGAAGTACTCCACTGTGTATAAATACTGCATTTTATTTAATCAGTCTGAAAAAAGACAAACGTGATATTAACTTTTCAGGTATCCATCACTGAAAACAACTATGGTGTGGAAACCAATCATAATGATCAACTATTTTAACTAACTTATTTTGCATGGGCTCATGTTAGCCATCGATTGTATTAATCAGGATTCCTGACATTGACATATAATATGCAACGCTCACAAATTAAAGGATGACAAGTTTAATTCGACTCACAGTTTTAGGGGATTCAGTCTGTGGTTGGCCGTTTCCAAGATATATCATGGTGGATGGCCTTGGTAGAGCAATACTGCTTAGCTCATGGCAGCCAACAAGCACAGCAGGGGAACAGTGGTACAGAGGAAGGGGCAAGGGATCAGATATAGTTCCCAGTCACACCTCCATGATTATCCAGACACACCTAGAAGTGTGCTTCACAGATCCCCTCCATGACTGTCTGGCTAATAAATCTGACAAATCTTGCTTAACTACCATATCAATCTTGCCATAAAATAAAATTTTTAAATGTGGTTTTGGAAATAATCTTTAAAGAAGGCATTGCTAGGTTAATACTTATTATATGAAAAAAATGAATTTTAGGTGAAATGACTTTAAAATTACAATACCTTCATGGTTTATGGTGCACACATAAAATTTCACCACTTGGAGGCTGAGGCAAGAGAATGGGCATGAGTTTGAGGCCAGCCTGGGCTATATAGCGAGTTCAAGACCAGCCTGAACTGTATAGTGAGACTTTGCCTCAATCAATCAATCAATCAATGAATCAATCAATCAAATACATGCATACATACACTCATACCAATGAAACTAACCATATTTGTGAGTGGCAGAACTATTCAAAGATACCAATATCAATTCTGAAAATTAAAAGAACAAATAGCCTGTAACACCTCCTAAAATTTTTAGAGTAAAGGATATTTTATTGTAAAACATCTTTGTTATTTAATACCCAAGGAATAAATTTTGGAAACCATTCTCGAACTCATGAATTAGATCTCTCTGATGTAGTCTACTAAAATCTTTAGAAATTTATTCATTCCCTTTAATACCTCTACTGTTTCCAGTGCTTTCAGGGTTTATACTTGTCATTTTTCCAGTGTTTACCATCACTGATGTAAGTTATATCATTTAGAAAATGCCTTGATTTGTACTGCAAACTCATTTGAAAATGTCATCTATCCTATTATTCACATCTTCGTATATCAAAACCCATGCAGCAATTACTTCTCAGAGTTGATATTAGAAAAATAGTTATGCTTATAAGGTGAGCTCTCATTTGGCTATGAGGGAGCCCAGTACTAAGTGCCATGTTAGATCCTAGCTACAAATGCATTCTAGGTATCTGACAACATTGGGGTGTTCAATTACTTTCGCTCTGTAAATGTTTACTTGTTCTGTTTCATATTATGTTTGAGCAAGGTGCTTTCCTACTTTAAAAAATAATTATTTTAATTAATTCACTGCATTATAGTAATAAAATACTATAAACATTAAATAAATATTTTATTAATATGAAAGTTGAATGATATATTAAACAATGCAGAGACACGTGGGTAATTTTGTCTTACAGAACATTTATAAGCAAAAGTACTTTCTATTTTTCACCCTAATTTTCATTGAAACCCAACTGTTTTTAAACTTCTTTACTTTTACGAGGAAACAAATCTAAGATGAATCTCTGTTAGAGAAATGGCTATTATGATGCAAAATATGATTTGCTATGACTGTAAGGACATGATTCATTGTGTTTTCCTATTTCAGATTCACAGGGGAATGGTGAACATCTCTGAATATAAACATGGAGAGCTTCCATAACATCTGCTGCTAATTTCTGCCAGCTGAAATGTGATAATGATGATGAATATTTTTGTTGTTGATGCAGACACATTGGTCTAACTGAATTAACTTACACACTATGGGTATCTAATTGAAAACCATGATTTGTAATATCACCTGATTGGTGTTATGTTTAATTACACTGCTAATTGTCCAAATATACTTAATTTTTGTGACTTATAACTTTTAAAGTAAAAAATTACTATCAGCTGGAAATGGGGTACAGTGTGCCACATCGACAGTAGTATTCATTTATTTCATCCCCACCATATATTTGTGAAAGCAAAATTTACTTGAAAGTTGCACATTTAGGGAAAGCAGCAACTATTGATAAAAGGGAAAAGTTAAGTCATTCAACTGGTAGATATGTAAACCCTCCTCAAAATTTCCTGTTTTATTATGATCCAATAACTATATATTGAAGACAGGCTACAAGTGAAAATTCTAAAAGGGACTAAAAATAAAAATTTTTAATATAAATTAAATATTTTAAAATATGCAATGTTTATTTATGGAACCTCTGCAACATAAAAAACACAATGTAGCTTAGTGAGTCTAGGTAGAGGTTGAAGTTTTAGTTTCTAGAATTGACTGAAATAATAATGGGAACATTTTATATTTTAATCTTCAGGAAAGAAGGGCAAGCATTTCATGTGCCTATTTATTTGAGAAACCTGGCAATAAGTTTACGACTTTTGTAAGTGGAACAATTTGGATGATGGTGTGTTTACCTAATAGATTTTTTAAATCCTCAGGCTACACTATTAATTCATGTGAAGGGTTCTTATGTACTTGCCTAGTGAAAGTCTTTGATTCAAAGTCCTTGTGACATTATTTAATCAAATATCTATTTAAATGTCACTTAAATGCCTATTTGGGCATATTTGATAGTTTGCCTAACAAATTGGGCAGACACTATTATATCCACAACAAACATTCTGCATTTAACATTGCAACATTAGTACAAATTAAAAGATATTTATAATTGAATAACAAGGAAAAGAGTAAACTATGGGCGATGAGGATTCTACTTTTTAACTAAGTTTTTCAAAGACTCAAACTTCAGGATGAATTTCCTTAAATAATTACTGAAGTGTAAGTCCAAACAATTTTCCATTCTCCTTAATTTATTTGGATTACAAAACCTGCATAGCTCCTTTTATTATTCACCAATAGAACATAAATAAAGATGTTATAAGAGGTATACCTGAGAAAATCCCTGTATCAGTGATCTTTTAGAAAATAATTTGTAATCATCTCGGGTGCAAGTCCCTAAATAATGCACAGGACTGTTTGCGAGTCATCTCTTGTTACTTCTCAGTTTGTACCGTTCTTACCGTTCTTACCGGCTGGGTCTCTTTTGTCGCTTCCAGATAGGTGTTGCCAGTTAACATTTTGATCACTCTCCTTGTGCTTCATTTCACTTCCTCAGTACTCCTTTTTCTCAACGAGGAATGGTCCATTGTCATTTCGTGACATACTCTGGATCTCTGTAATTTACCATTTTCTTCTGATTACGCTCCTTCATTTTCTCTAGTATTATATATTCACCTTATAATCTGTTGTTTTATACTTGTTTGTAGGCTAAAAATATATTGTCCCAAATATTTATATGTTCCATGTGCCCAGGTAAGTTTACTTCCAAAGGTCATCTCATATTTCCTTGGGGATTAGCTTGATTGGGCTCAAACCTTGAATCAGCGGTTTATCCGTTTGAGATGTTCTTTGATTTATTTATTTATTTATTTATTTATTTATTTATTTGGTTTTTCTCCAGTACCGGGAACCGAACCCACGACCTTGCACTTGCCAGGCAGGCGCTTTGCCGCTGAGCTAAATCCCCAGCCCCGTTCTTTGATTTATTAAACTTCTATAAAATTAAGATTTTTGTGTGCAGTAGAGTTTCCTTGTTACTCTCTCTTATTCTCTGTTCCTTAGCTATACCCTGCAAATAACCCCATTATAAGCCTCCAGTGTATATGCCAAGTATTTTCAGCTGAGACTCGTACCCTGATTCCTTTTCTATGTGTTTCAGAGTACAAATATGAAGAGTACAGTCCACAAACCTTTGTCTGCAAACTGCTCACGCTGTTTAAGGAGAGGTAAATATCCAAAGCAAGTGCATTTAGAAACTTGTAGCAATTTGATGTTGTCATGTTTTTGCAATATCTTTTAATTTTTCTAGTATCTATTGTCTATTAATAGCATCAACTATTTTCCAGTTTTTTTTATTCTATCTAAATTTTTAGAAATCAACTAAAATTGATTCTTCTAAAGGTAGTCAGAAGAACAGGCATAGTACTTTCATGTTTATTGAACTGATCAGTTGATTTTTTTAATACTTTGTCTTTCAGTGGATTTGTTGACCTCACTAGGGACAAAGTTGTGAAAGGCAATAATGTGGCAAATGCATCCTAAAAAAGTAAGTTTATGTTACATCAAAACACTGGGGTGAGCACATGTAATGTAACCACAATTCTAGGTATTGTCAACGAAATACAAAGAGACACAGAAGCCATCTGTTCATCTCTTCACCCCTTTTGAGGATATAAAGCAGACAGAGTAAACTAAAACTTCCTGAACAGAGATCCAAGCTGAGTATTCATTTTAGGATTTAGCTTTGTAATAATTCCCAAATACATTGTAGTCACTCATTTTAAATGCTTTTATTAAATAAATGATCATGAAATTACTAATATATATAAGGTTCTATGTTGACATAGTGCTATAGCTATAAATAAAGATAAAATTCATATACTTAGGTAATTTTTAAAGGCTGAGCAAAACAAAGTAATAATTAACAACGCTTTATTTTGGAGAGAGAGGGAATGAGAGAAAAAGAAGGGAAAAGGGGAAGAGAATAGTGTGGCAGTTTGATCGTGAAAAAAAAGACATTGACCAGTCTGCACTCCCACCAGCAGTGGAGAAGGGTTCCCTTTCCCCACAGCCCCTCCAGCACTTGCTATGGGCTGATTTCTTGATGATAGCCATTCTCTCTGGGATGAGATGGAATCTCAGTGTTCTAACTTGCATTTCATGAATGACCAACGGCGCTGAACATTTTTTAATATATTTATTTGCCATCAGTATTTCTTCATCTGAGAAGTGCATATTCATCTCACATGCCCATTTTTGGATTGGGTCTTTGAATTTTGGAGGTCTGATTTTTAAAAATTATTTTATTGAAAGAAACAGTTAATGCTTAAATTTTTGACCAATTTTGCATTCTTGAGCCAGGCATGGTGGTGCACGCCTGTAATTGCAGCACTCAGGTTGCAGAGGCAGTAGAATCATTGCAAGTTTGAGACCAGCCTGGGTTATAAAGTGAGCTCAAGACCCAGCTTAACTGTATAGTGAGACCCTGTCTCAAAAAGACAAAAACAAAACAAAACAAAAATTTTGCATGCTTATATCTGGTAATCTGATAGACTAATTTGCAGACAGCAATATGCAATATAAGAACCATTGGTAAGTTCCTACCATCTTGTTTAGTGAAGCTCTTTCTAGTGTTTTTTATTATTATTTTTTACTCTTTTTAATGATTTGATCAATGTTGCTTTCTTACTTCTGGTAATATGAGAGACTTCGTTGAAGATAATGATATACAATATAACAACCACTGTTAATTCCTGTCATTTTGTTTTGAAACCCCATATCGTTTTTATTGTTTTTGTGTTGTTTTGTTTTTGTCTATGTTGTTGTTATTTTGTTATTTTTTAATTCTCTTTAAAATAAAAAAAGACATTTATATATATAGTATTTTAATTATGGAAAAATTTAAAATCTCCAAAATGTCTAAGTGGCAATTTTCTGCTTAACCAGAATTTTCTCCACTTAGTATTTGGTCACAGAAAAAAAAAAGATACTATAGGAAAGAAAGTATTACCAAGAGTGCATTGGTGAAAGTGTTTGTACATTTCTGTATCATTTGTAGCAGTAGCAGTGATGGAATCACCCAATACTAGCTTTTCTGTTTTCCTTTAAAGTAAACCACCCATAGTGTCCAAGGCTTATTCTAATACATCTTTGTCCAAACCTGGTGGTTTCTTTTCTTTCAATTAATCTGCTAAAAATTGTAGAGGTATATAATTAAAGTTTAAATTCCACCATGGCAACAAATGATGGGGAACTCCTTCTTCATATCTTTTTGGGAATGCCCATATCCTCTATGTTTAAGTATTTTATCAATTAAGTATTTTATCAATATTTTATTACTTTTACAATGTTGTCTCATTAACTTGTAACATTTCATAATGTGTTCTGGATATACATTTTTAATTAATATTAGTATTTTAAATAATGTTCTACATTTTCTTTGTGTTAATCATGTCTTGAAGAAAATGTTTTCAATTTGGATGTCAACTGGCAACCTTTTTATTTATACTTGCTACATTTAATCCTTTTTAAATTATCATTGCTTATCTTCCGCCCATAAATATATTTTCATCAGAATGTTTTATTTTCTTTTCTTTCACATTTTGTCCACAATCCCTTTTGCATTGGTTTTTGTATGAGGCTTGAGGTAGGTGTAGTGGTTAATTGATTGTGTCAATTTGTGAAGTTTAGAAGCTTAACTGAACTTGGCTCAGCAACTGACTCAGCAATTCTACACCCTAGGGTATAGAGGGGCCATCCAAGGGTGGATAGGAGCCACCCTAGGGTGGATGGTTACCTAGATGATATAAAAAGTAAACAAGGAAGGATAGAGGGGTTCCATTCTTCGGAGGAGCTTCAGTCTTTACCTTCAGCTTGGACATTGTCTCCTGGCTTCTGGTGCAGACTCTTTGGCTTCCACCTTGGATTCTTCAGCCTTCCGGCACAGACTCATCAGCCTCCTGATACAGAGTTGAACAGAGCACTGCAGTGAACTCCAGACCGTGGACTGATCCCCTCATGTCTCCAGTGTGTAGACACCCTCTGCACACTTCCTCATCCAACTCTGTGGCTGACCGTTGTAAGCCAATCTTATAATTTCTTATACATTTGTATATCCTGTGTTATACCTGTTTCTCTAGTAAAACCATGACTGATACAGTAGGTAATTAATTTAATGTGAAAATATTTATTCTATCTTAAAACTATTGGCACTAAAAGCTGTTTTTGTTTGCTTGTTTGCATGTGGTTCAATCAGTCCAGGTGAGTGACTCTGTACTGGTTTTACTCTATTCTTTTGATTTTTTGATTGCATATTGTTTAAAAGGGCTGGTCATTAGTTAATATGTCAGTTCAATCTGCTGTGGGGAAAAACTGGTGTAAATTGTACTACAAGATTTACTGTTTCTTGGTGATTGCTTCTCCATGTGTCTGTTACCTATTTAGAGCAATTGGAGACACTTTCCTGATTCTGCTGTTCCAATTTCCACTCTAATTGCTTAACCTCTGGGTTAATGACATTTTTACTTATTGTTTCGTGCAAATCCAGGAGAGACAGAGATGGGTCAACCAGTTAACTTTTTCCAAATGAGTCCTATGTCACTTCTTGTGTGATTTGGGCTAGTTTCTAGCTTGCTTACACCCTAAGGAGTTTATTTTAAACATATTTCACCCTTAATGTTTCAGTGTCAGGCATCAGAGCTTCCATTTTTCCAATATCTGAATATCTGATCCTTTTTCCTCTTTATCTTTCTATGTTTTAAGAAATGACACTGTTTTATGTTTTTCTGTGCTCCTATAATTTATTTGTTGTTTATTGGTAACATGTAGTCTATTAGTTCCTGAAATTTAAGGTCAAAGCTATGCATAGCTATCTGGTCTCTCTGTTATTCCATCCTTTGTGATTATTTATTCTGTAATATTTGTGTTCCTTATTTGAATATATTCCACAAGCACATATGGATACATCTATATATATATGAGAGATATAGATATAGATATATACTTATTTGATTAATAATGGATGCACACATATATGATGTTTATGTGTGAATATGTTTATAGGCATTTATGTGTATGTATAGATGAAAATAGATACATTTAAACTTATACTTTAGAGAACCATACGTAATAACTAACCCATTTTGTAAACATTTTCAAGTAAGATGTTCCTTCACATAACATATTTAATTTTATACTTCCTCCAAGTGTTTTAAATTATGAATAATTCACTGAGTGACTATTTGAAGCAGCATAAACAAATTAAAATTAGTCAGGAAAGCCCAGTGAAGAGGAGCGTCTTGGCTGGTCTGTGTGTATCAGTTCTGCAATCAGCTATTTCTAATCACTGACATGGTTGGTATCAATGTAGTATTATTGATCCTGGATATAATTCATTCATTATATACAATGTGCAGCACAGCACTTACATTTATCTCTGTAACTTTTTCTAATTATTTTTTAAAATTATGGGGGAATAATGACCTTTTATTAGGCCAGCTGAAACTGGCTCATTATTGTTTAATCTGCTGTGGGGAAAACAGTCACTCAAAGCATTCTCAGTGGGTCAAAAGTATCAATGTTCACCTAACCAGTTCCTTTTAGAAATCTACACATTATTGTAATGGTGACACCTTTTAAAAAATCTCTTTCCAAGTACTATAATTCAAAATAATGATATGCTGCATATTAAAATAGCATTTATATAACTGATGATGTACAACTAGAAGTCATACATAGTATTTTAAAATTTTCTAATTTGTTATTAGTGAAATTTTCAGGAAAGTAGTTTATTGAATACTGACTATGGTAGAAATTTTACTAAACTTCTAATTTAGGTGAATATTAAACAATTAAATACTTCCTACTTTTCTATTCTTATTCACCATTTATCACAGTTCCTAATATGTGATCATCTTCTAAAATGAGGAAATATAGTATCACCACTAAAATGTTTATATTTTCATATTAATATCTAATGGCAGTATAGATTTGAAAGTATAACAGTAATGTGATAAATACAGTAGAGAGACAGAAAAAATGCATTACAAAATTAATAAATGATATTCTGATTATGGAGTAGAGGACAGCAAATATGAATATATTTGATAAAAGGTATAAACAGTATTTCTTCTGCAAATTGAATTCAAAAGTACTGGTAAACTGATTGGCTAATCAAATTACTTAACTGCACACAAACATGATTAGAAGTGTCTGTAGTTGGGATATAGAAAGCAGAGATCAGATGCCCTGACTTAAGACACTGACCTAAATGATTGATGGAATAATGTTCCAATAGTTTAATTGAATGAAATAATTAGAAAATTTGAAATGACTGAAAAAATTCAGATATAAGATACTGAGTAGAAACTCCTGGAGCTAATTTCTGCTGCAGGGCAGAATAGACGAAATGTTTCACTCCACCTGGCATATTGATTAGATCTTCTGAATGGAAATTTGACCAAAGTCATATATCATTTCCTCTCCAAGGTAGTTAGAAATCTTCTATGTATTCTCTGTATTTTTTCCTTCTCTGCTTTGTTTACTGTT